AAAAAAACCCATAAAATTATAATGATTAGGAGTTGGAATACCTCATTTATCCCTAGTAAAAGCTTTTCTATTATAGTATAAATGATAAGAGTAATATTGAATACTAGATTTAAAAAATAGTATCTGATGTATTTTGAAAATAGAAAAAATGTGACAACTAAATAAAAATACTTTAATTTTATAAATAGAACAATCAAACAAAAACGAAGTTATAATTACGTTAACAAAAACAAAGTGTAATATTTCTAGTAACAGAAGAAAAAGGAAGCTCTAATTAACAATGAAATTGAAGTATCAAATTAATGAGGCTTCTCATAAATTTTGAATGCACAATTAAATAGTTCTCTTAGGTCTTTTTGCTTCTTATAACAATTACATATGTAATCTCTAATAATTGGTGTCTATCTCTAATCTCTAGTAATCTCTAGCGATTGCGTATAGGAGTCGTATTACTAATTAGTGATGCTAAGCTGCTGCTTGTTGTTTTTGTGGTAGTGGGCTGGAAGGTGAGTGCCACATTTTTTTGATGTGTGATATATCACCTATAGACTTTGGTTAAAAAAAAATTGTTCCCGGGGTGGTGGGGACTCAGCTTTATTATGTGTGAGATATCCTATAAAAATGTTACAGTATTTTTATTTTACTTTAAACTTATTGTTTTATAAATTGTATTTATATGATTATTTCTTTAATTTAGAGGAAAAAAAAACCTAATTGTATTATCGTCGACCAAAATCAATCAAAATATTTAAAAGTTATAAGTACCATTTTTTTATTAGCAAAAGATATTGTATTTCTAGGGTACAAGGCGTGTCCAACTTAGGCATACCCAAACCCATTTACATCCCTATATTTACAAAATTTTGATTAGACCTTTATGGCACATCATTTTTTTTTATACAGTAAAAAAATATTTATTAAATAAAGTATAAGGAGTGCTTCTCCTCAATGCATCAAAAACAATTACAAAACCCAAAAGATCAATAAAAAGCTCGCACCTACATCATCCAGCTAAAGGACAAAACCAACGAAAGACGTAGAACTTTGTTACATTGTTTGAGCAATCAAAGTCCCAGCAATTTAAAAACCAAAAGCATGTCCAAATTTTCTACTACGTTTCTTTTTAAACATAGGACAGGTTCACACATTTTTTTGAACGGTGGATCTGTTTTTACCTCTATTTTAGGGTGAATTTAGGATTTTGCCTGATAATTTTAGTGTTATTAACTTATTATCATGTAAATAAATTTATTTAGATAATTAATAAATTAAATATATATATTTTAAATTCTTAACCCACAAACTTAAGATATAAATTAAAAAAAAATTTTACCTCTATTTTAGGGTGAATTTAGGATTTTGCCTGATAATTTTAGTGTTATTAACTTATTATCATGTAAATAAATTTATTTAGAGAATTAATAAATTAAATATATATTTTTTAAATTCTTAACCCACAAACTTAAGA